GATTCTGTGATTCTGTGATTCTGTGATTCTGTGATTCTGTGATTCTGAGACTGAATCTGCCCAAAGATCCACCCACAGATCAGAAAAGCCTGCCCTGGCCCATCAGTTGTTGTGAAATCCTATGGGGCTGGGCAGAGACAGAGGAGCTGCAGTGCCATCTGCTATAGCCCATCAGTGCTGCTGTGCTTGGCTAAGGGAACCCAAAGAAATTCACAGCACTGAATTGATGTATGGCTTCTTAAAAGTTTGTTCTTCTGTTCCCCATTTCATACTTCTGCTATATCAGCAGAGTATCAGCTGTGTCACTTTCATCATGCTTCCTTTCCTTTAAATCCCTATTTTCTGCCCTCTTCTACCCCTCCACCTCTGCTTCTGCACCTGTCCTCCCTTTGCATCCTTCTCAGATGATGACATCTTGACAGAGGCAGTCCAGGCTGTGCAGCCTGGAGCAGAACGTTTCTAGGAGCATGTAAAGCAAGGCAGAAAACCTCTTTCTCACGCTCAGCTCCTTCTGTACCTTTTAATACATGTTGCAGGTCAAGTTGTCCAGGAGTGGAACTAGTCTGGCGATAAAGAGGAGAAGTCACCACTCACGTACTTTCTGATCCTCTACACAAGAACTGCAGAGCAGCAGAGAAGAGAGAGGTAAACAGCTCACAGAGGGATCTCACAGCATATGGAAGCATTGTGTGTCACACTACCATGCCTGCAGAGTAAGCACCGGGATCCCAACTCACATTCACTTTTCTTGCATGTCTGTTCTGGTTATAAAGATGATCCCACCAGCTGGAACTCTCCTCGCAGACCCCAGCTCTGTGATTCTGAAGGTGCTGGGATCTCTCTGGTTTGATCCCTGCTGTCTCCAGAGGGAAGCTGGCAGCAGCAGTGCTGCCTGGCCTGCAGCATCCCTGGATGAGACTGGCCAGCAAGGCTGGCTGCTGGCTGCCACCAGGGAGAGGAGGGCTCCCGTGTCACTGTATGAAAGAGCCTACAGCTTGTCCTCCCTTCCATGTTCTGTGCTGTCAAGGAGTCCAAACCTTGTGCCACAGTTCTTGAACGAGAAGCAATTCTGAACACACAATGCAGAACTAATCAGAAAATGTGTTGAATGAGAAAGAAGCTGACACCTGCTCTTGTGGGAATGGAGTGTTGTTTCTGCATTAGATATTAAAAAGGGCAAATGATTTGAAGAAGTACTTGTATTCTGTAACTTGTTCTTAGAAGTAGTTGATCTCAGAAGTAGAAATACTGTGTATGTTAGTAGCATGTTTTAGAAACGTTATTCCTGAATTATGTGATTAATTCTTTCTTGCAAAACTGCAATAGTTGTTAAATGTTCCAAACAATGTGGGCATAGTGCTAGGGGTTAGAAAACATATTGTAGGGTTGTTCTGTTAGGATAAGAAACTCCCAGCAAAAGAAAAACAGATTTAACAAACATCAAAGAAGCCAGGGCCTCTACACAAGGCCAGACCGTCTCACTCCATGAGAAGATTGGGATGTGACAGGCAGGCACCAAGATACTCCCCTCCGTCCTCCTTCTGAGCTTCATCTCTGCGGAGGGGAGGACAAGCAGATGTCCACAAAAAAATGAGCAAGTGTGGAATAAGGGTTAGAAGTTAATAAAAAAAATAAACAGCTGTGCTGTTTCTGCGGGATCAAGAGCTACACAGTGCTGCAGGAGACCCGAGCTTTCAAAGCAGGTGAATGTTTTCTACATTATGCAATTACTAGAATCTCCTCATAGCTTTAATTAGGAAGGCAGATCTGAAGTAACCAATAGTAGCCACAATCGTTTTAAGTGTTTTTCTGTGCCGAACTGTTTTACCCTTGTCTTTGCTGACACTGCTGTCAACGCAAAGTAGTTGCTGTACTCCTGCTTTTCAGCAGCTGCAAAGAGACCAAGGGCCCAGTTCTATAGGCAGCGCTGCACAAACTCACTCTTGGCCTGCAGCCCACTTGCTGCAGTCTGACTGAGGTGGGACCACGTGCATCTGTGTGCACTGCATTCAGATGTGGTAGTCCTGCTGACATGGCTCTTGAAATGAAAGACTTGGGAATGTTATGAGATAGAGCCTGGGCTACGTCCTCAACCAAAACGTGCTCCTTCGTCCCCGTGGATACACACGGGCTGCTGCTCTCCTGCGGGCTGTCATGGTTTAATGATTCTTGTTATCGGTATTCCACATCATAGCACCATGTAGCACACTGGGATTTGAAGAGTTAATGCTGCAGTTCCGTGGACTGCCGATGGTTCCAGGTACCCGTTTCAGAAGAGAAACTACAGAAGGAATTTCAGCACCCAGAAGACTTTGCTGTTCCATTTCCATGCTCCAGTAAGGGGGAGAGATAAGATTGACTGGGAGTCATGGGATGGCCTCTCTTTTTTGCCTTCCCTGTCTCTTTTTCCGCTCATCTCTGCGGTGTGTGCTTCCCAGCCATCCCGCCTACAGCATCACAGCCAGGCCTTTGCTTTTCGGATGCTCTCATTTATTCGACTTCTTAGCTTCAATTCCAATTATACTGTATTGAATTGTGTTATCTCGCATTCTGCTGTCATATTAGTTTTTTCTCCCATAGCTCGTTGCCTCTGTTGTGTATTTAGGCCCACCTCCCTGTCTTTTTCCCTTCCTATCTTCTGCCTGCCCAGAGGTGTGGGCCCATGGGTCCCTCAGCCCCTTTAATCACAGAACTTGGCCAAACCGGGCCAGAAGAATGGCATAAGCGCTGCTCAGAGCCCCTCCGCCTCATTTACTTCCATGGGCTTCCTGATGGATTTCTCAGAAACTGCGGGAAATAAAAAAATGGAGACAAGTGAGGTGACCAGTTCTCTGGACAGGAAGGGACATCCCTATCACCGTTCCCAAGTCGTGCCCTTTCCACGGTGGTGACCTAACAGGGTTCCAGGTGACATGGGCTGATGTCACTGTGCGATGCACTGCATCACAAGGGTATCATCCGGCAGCGCCGGCACTTCCCTACAGGGCCTGGGTGCTGCTGGAGCCCCGCCCAGGGGCTCTGTCCTTCTGTGGCCTGGAGTGGGGTCAGGGGCTGCAAGGCTGCACTGGGCGACCCTCGCTAACACGTGGAGGAGCAGGGATACCTCGCACAGAATTGTTGGTTGAGGAGCCAGGGAGAGCATCCTTTGTTCTGAGCTGAGGGCCGTCGGCAGGCAACACGGAGGGCTGCTGGACTATGACCATCAGCTCAGAGCTGGTCTCCACATTCCCAGTGCTCCTGCAACTCTCTGCCAAGGGTAAGGCTTTCAGGAATGCCTTCCCAAGGCATCACACGGGGCTGTTAGCTGTCAAAAGCAAAAGCCGTGTGGCAGGGCTGCCCAGGTTCTCGTGCTGAAGGGGCAAATGAGGTGCAGACACATTCGCTGGTGCAGAACAAAAGGCATTTATTCTAGGCACTTACCACCTTTTATACCCGCAACACAACAGTTTTCCTGCCTAACCAAGTCTGGTCACATGTAAGGGTTAGGTGCCTTGTGGCCGTATATGTCTGGCTCAAGTTACTGTTGAGCTTTACCACTCATGAGCAGTACAACAACCTTCTTTATCCCACAGCGCTGCAGCTCCAGCTGGATGTGGATGGGGGCTGCTGTGAGAGCCCTGCTCGAGGGTCCGGCTAGGCTCTGGGGACAATGTGGCAGCCAGGTCCCAATGGCAGAGCTGCCCAGAGCTCCCACGTTCCTTTCGGCATGGCTCAAACCCCTGTGACAGGGCAGTCCAAGGCCAGGTTTCCCTGGGAGCTGGTGTTTCCTGAGGATCTGGCTCAGGGACAAAAGACATCCCACGTCCCAGCGGCTTCCCATGTTCCCGTTTCCCCACGGGGCTCAGAGCAAGGGCTGAAATCAGGGCAAAACCTGGCTCCTTAGCCATGGTGGTGCTTTTGTGGCGTGTTTGCATACACCTGCCCCAGTCATTCCCTGAGTGGGGAGCTTACCAAGAAGTTGTGAAGAGGCTGGCCTGGCGCATCTTTTCCTTCCTTCGCAGAGGTTGTGGTGATCTGGAATGCTGTGTCTTATTATATCCTGTGTGGGAAAAAATGTTTCTGCATTAGAATTGGATAATTTTTTTATTTCACGATCTCTGCTATCGTAATTCTTGCGAGTCCTTCTACTTGGGGAAGATCTCTGAGGCAAATGATGAGGCCAGGCTCTTCTCGGTGGTGTGTTGCAATAGGACAAGGAGCACTGGCCCAAAACTTGAACGCAGGAAGTTCCATACAAGCGTGTGCAAGAACTTTTTATGTAAGGGTGACGGAGAACTGGATCAGGTTGCCCGAGAGGTTGTGCAGTCTCCTTCTATGGAGGAGCACTTATCCTCTAGACGAACCTTCCCAGGAACGCACACTATGTATATAGGTGTATATCTGTATACTTTGTCATACACACTGCAAGAATATTGCGGCGCCCCATGGGGAGGGACAGCGGTTCCGATGCAAAAGCTGACGTGTTTCTGCTTGCAGCACCTGCGGGCACCGGCCCATGGCAGATCGTTATAAAAATGTGTGCAATGTGTGCGGCACAGAAGTCCTGCACGAGTCCTGGCCGTGGAGTGTCAGCTTCCAGACATGCAACCCTGCATCTCCTCAGCTGTGAGGAGCTGAACAAGGGCGCTTTTGCACAGGTTACCCACGCACGTGAAACGTGCTGCAGT